TCACCGTAGCAGTATTAAATGAGCAGTTTTACATGGAACTTGGTGAAACAACTCATTCAAATTATAAAGCATCGACCTAACGAGATGGCTCTTTCCAGATTGGCTTTGCCCGCAAATATAAAATTTAGCTGTTGTTTTAAAACGCATGCCCATTGTCTTGCAAATGAAAACAGAATTGTTTTACAACAGACTATATACCATCTTGCATGTATCAATTAAATATACTCTATAAACAAGTTAAATACTTAATCAACGAGAAGCTGATTGGATGTTCAGCTCTAAAACACTGAACACATAAGCAATCACAAACATTTTCTTTTATCACTTGATTGGTTAATCATGTCGTTCACATGGCAATACGTTGTGAAAAGTTGGGTTTCTTCAACTCAAGGAAGCAATAATCAGCATTGTATAACAGATTCGATAAGGCATTTGGCATATGCCAATATTATTCCAACAAGAATTATGAACAATTATATTTGTATGTTTGTAAATGATGATCGTCCATGTTAATAAAGTCCTGAGAAGGACTGTTTTTGTTGTTGTTGACTGACTATCTCAGATAACAAATACGGCTAACCTGACGTTTTCTCCTCATTTGACTCTGAAGATGACTACCGCTAAGGTTGTCGAAACGTCAGTCAACAACAACAAAAACAGTCCTTCTCAGGACTTTATTAACCTGGACGATCATCATTTACAAACATATAACGATACTCCCGGGTTCAAACCATTTACTTTATAACAATTATATTGGTAAAAAGTTTATTTAATTCCTTAACAATATCATTAATCTTGTACACTTTGTCATCACTATGTCTTTCAATCGTAGTCCTGAAAACATATGCTGATGATCCATACTTTTTCACGTATTTTTTGGATATCTTCTCCATATTGAAGTGTATTGTGTCTTCCGAGACATCAGCCAAACGGTCATCTCTTTTTTTCAGCAGCTTGAACTTTTGTTCTAGTAGCTTGGCAGATTTTTCTTGCCAACGTAAGACTTTGCGTAAGTCCCATTTTGGCTTAGCCAATTCTTTCTGGATTTTTGTTATAAGACGTTTTGCTTTCGCATTTTTACGTTCAGCTCGTTTCTTCAAACGCAGGTCATATGAATCCATATCAAAACAAATTAAGATACTTCTATTGATCTCTCTTGGAAAAGCAAACCTGATGTAAAATAGATCCAACCTTGCCCTTTTCTCATAGTACTTTGCTCCCTACAGAGATCGTCATTGCGCATGTTATGATGCAATAAGCAAAAAATAGTTTTGAAATTTATAATCATTGCTGTTATCATTCCAATGAATATTTTTTGCTGTGTTAAGCATCATGGATCCGATCATAAATGCCTCAATGATTCCATTTTGTCTGCATTTTTCGAATATTTGATTAAGGCTTCTTTTAATCATATTTCCGTCAAAATTTTTTCCCATGAAAAATACCAAAATAGTAAGACTACAGCTTCATAAATATGCGGGCTCTATCTGTGCTTGCCGATTATAATCACCTCAATGTTATATTTTGTCTGCATATTTTGAATTTTTGATTAAGTTTATTTTTTTATCACATTTCCATCAAAATTCTTTCTCCACACGATTGATGAAAAATTTCTTCTTGCTTGTTTTCACAGTACAATGACAAGTTGAAAATTGCAGAGATAATAATTGTTAAGACTCGTAGTTATAATTTTTATGACAGTTATGATGCATAATATTTTTTGCGAACCAAAACTGGCAATGACCTTAAACGTCATTTCAGTAAACGGCGAAGGCATCAGCAAAGAGAACCAACATTTTGAGGAACAGCTACATCGCAAACAGTTAGACCCATTTTCAGTAAGTTGAATTGGAAATCTATTTTAATGTTTGATATGACTTTAGCAAATTTAAGTTGTGATGTTGTTTATTATTTTAGGCCAGTGTGACGACTGCACGTTGTGGGTAATTTGCCCACCAAGCTGTGGACATTAAGTCCATCTCTCTGAGGTGGAGGAGAGGCTTGTGGAGTGTATCAATGTTCTACTGTATCAATGTTCGAATGATAATTCTTTATCTTTTGAACATTGATACAGTAGAACAGTCAGTATGATTGATTTCTTTTTATTTCAGAGTGGTTGTTGCTAGTTTCTTCGAATAAAATGTTTTATTCAATAAAATTCATTTAAGTTTATCAACGTCTCATGTTCTAATTTGTTCTTTTTTCTGTCAAAAATATTTTTCTCCGATCATTGCAAGTGTACTTGATAAGTTCTAGCCCATTTACTATCAAAGCCACGTTTTGTAAACTATCAAAGAAGGATTTCATGACTTCTTTCTCATCAATTTTTGATACCGCATCATCAAAGTACATCGATACCCTTTCATCGTTTGGAATCATCATACATTCATGTCGCCTTTGAGATGGTTGGTCAACGCGAGAGTCGTCACAGTCTTTCGCCGCAAGTTCTTATATTTTGAAACCAATTTCAACAGCATAGCACTTTAACAATTTATTTTGTATATTGCTTTGGTGCTCATCTAAAACATTGCTCTTATCTTCAAATTCGAAAAACGATTCCTTCACTTTCTTTGCTTGCTCAATGTCAACTTTTAAAGTCATTTTCGTTTTAGTTATACAAAAATTACCAAACAACTTTAACTCAATAAAGTTGTAACGTGTTCTCCATTTTCATATTCGCAAAGGAAACAAGAAAACGGATTTAATATTGCTTTAGGAATAGAAAACAATTGACAATTTTAATTCAGTTTTATCATGTTTCAATTAATCATGTCTTCCAATAGCAACGTTCGTTTATTTTACGTGGTTTCCGGTCGATATGCACGCGCTTTGTTTACTTCCTAGTACTGGAAACTAATTGACACGAGTAAGAGCTCCGTTTACTTCCGGGACCATACTTGCACCATAACTAGTTTGAAACGGTCGCTTTGAATTTCTGCCTTTTAACCTATATTGGGCCCATAGTTTTTTTGATATATATATATAGTGAGAGCTCATAATTTCACTGCTAACAAGTACGTAAATGCTTATTCATTGGTAAACTCGCACGTTTCAAAGTAGGTAGCTACAGGGTTGTAAATATGGTTATGTTAACAAAGTCTAAAATAGAATCTCTTATGCTTCCGTTTCTTCTAAATTAAATAAATTCAAATTAATTGAGGTGTACGTATGAGGCCTTATTTACTACAAAGACTAACGAGTGGCGGAGTGCAAAACGTAATTCTACAAACGTCGTAATATTTCATGTTGCAACATGCATGTAAACTTTCTAAACTTACGATAAAGTAAATCCAATAATGATTCTTGAGGCGTTTTTGCGAAGACACCGTTCATTTTAAAAAACACCCAAGTTTACACCAAAAGAGTGCATTCATTTTAGCGTACCGAGAAAATAACAGAATTAATGACTCTAGTTTTAACGTTATTAGCAATATTTGTAATGTAACAGATATTCGCCACACATTATTTAAGCACCAGTTAACATTTAAATACGTAATAACAGAGTTGCGTCGGGATCTTTTGTTATCACAGGAACGTTTACGGACGTATTTCCCTCAATATGAAGGTGAATGATATTTGGTTCTATATATCCATGAATAAACTTCAAACTAAATATTCCTCATAAATTTAAAGTTTGCTTTGTTTCCACATTTGATTTTCCTTTCCTGAAGAAATTGCGTGAGCTTGAATCGTTACTTTTCCAAGACTGAATCGTTTTTCATTCTAGTGAATTGAAAATGTTCATAGCAATATGTGTTTACCAAGTTTAAAAGTCCTCTTGTTCCACTGTTACATTGTCAATACTAATGACACAATCACCAAACTCGTTTTTCAAACCTGTTCAACTTTTACCACTTCGTTAATAAAGTAATCATATCTTTATTTGCAAAGCAAATTCATACACTGGTTCACTGAACCAATTCAACAATAGAATTCACAATTAAAATATTTTTTACCAATTTCTTCATCCCCTTGTTGACCATGAACAATATAGAGCACCATCAATATTTGTTATCGTTTGAATCAGTAAAGTCGAAATTTGTCCATGTAGCTAGTGTAAATATTTATTTAGCCATATAAAATTATACTTTGTGGATATTTTCTGCAACTCAGAAGTGCCTTTATAGAACAGCTATAAAATTTCATTCAATTACGAAAAAACTTTGTATATGTTTAATTCTTCCTTATATCTCAAATGCAAATTCAAATGTTAACAAAAAGTAAAATATAGAATTACATAAAACATAAAATGTAAATTAGTAAAGAATTTTCTGTCCATAAAGAGTCCTATATTCTTTCAAAATCATTATTGCCGATTCGTTAATATTATTTTTAAGAAATAAAGCCGTAGCTAGAGTTAATGCTTCACAAAACTCTGTGGTTTTCCAAGTAAAAAACCTTGGTCTTTTTTATATAAATAAAATAAATTTTGACAAAGCAACAACGACAACAAACTTCCTCGTGACAATCCTGTACACAGTCAAACTTTGAATTAGTACTTGAATTAAGTCGCACTGTATATTAGCACGCACTTACTAAAGCTTACTATTGACGCTAAAACATCACACTAAACACTTCTTAAAAGTCTATACTTAACACATAGAACATGCTGAGCTAACTGCTTCAAAATAGCAGAGTGGAAATGAACAAAGTTGAACTAGATTGTTATTTTCTTTTCCACAGGTAGAAGATTAAAATATTATAATCAATATTATTATTATTATTATTTTATTATTATTATTATTATTTTTATTATTTTTAATAGACCAAATAGGAATGACTGCGAATAAAGTTTACCAACGTAAATTTTCGAATATTTTAGGTTTGCGACTTTTTAAATAATAAAAAATATACGTCATAGGTAGAACAACTTACTCAATTCAATTTGACATCAAAATGCTTCCTACGGCCATAAACCTTATTTCGCATTAAACTTGTTTCAGAAACGTCAAGGCTGGCAAAAGACAGTAAAAAAAAATCACATGGTCCTGAACATGTAGATGTAGCTACGACTTTGAACAATCTTAGTAATGTGTATCATGATGCCAATGAATTAGCCAAAGCCAAAGAGTATAATGAAAAACCGATGAAAATTAAACAAAAATCACTTGGTCCTGAACATGTTGACAAGGCGTACCATCGTACTAACAAATATGAGGAAGCAAAAGAATTTCACGAAAATGCGATGGAAATTCAAGAAGAATCACTAGGTATTAAACATGTTGATGTAGCTATGGCTTTAAACGATCTTAATAATGTGTATGATGAGACCAACAAATATGCCAAAGCCAAAGAGTGTTATGAAAAAGAGCTGGAAATTCGACAAAAATCACTTATTCCTAAACATGATGATGTAGCTACGACATTAAACAATCTTGGTAATGTGTATTATAAGACCGACAAATATGCAAAAGCCAAAGAGTGTTATGAAAAAGCGTTGGAAATTCAACAAAAGTCACTAGGTCCTGAACATGTTGATGTAGCTATGACATTAAATATTCTTGGTAATGTGTATTATGAGACCAACAAATATGCCAAAGCCAAAGAGTGTCATGAAAAAGCGCTAGAAATTCGACAAAAATCACAAGGTCCTGAACATGTTCACGTGTCTACGAATTTAAACATTCTTGGCAAGGTGTACCATAGTACTAAAGAATATAACAAAGCAAAAGAATTTCACGAAAAAGCGCTGGAAATTCATAAAAAATCACAAGGTCCTGAACATGTAGATTTAGCTATGACTTTAAACGATCTTGGTAATGTGTATTATGACACCAACAAATATGCCAAAGCCAAAGAGTTTTATGAAAACGCGTTGGAAATTCGACAAAAATCTCTTGGTCCTGAACATGTTGATGTAGCTACGACTTTAAACAGTCTTGGTAATGTGTATTTTAAGACCGACAAATATGCCAATGGCAAAGAATGTTATGAAAAAGCGTTAAAAATTCAACTAAAATCGCTAGGTCCTGAACATGTTGATGTAGCTATGACTTTAAACATTCTTGGTAATGTGTATTATGAGACCAAAAAATTTGCAAAAGCCAAAGAGTGTTATGAAAAAGCGCTGGAAATTCGACAAAAATCACAAGGTCCCAAACATGTTCACGTGGCTAAGAATTTAAACATTCTTGGTAAGGTGTACCATTGTACTAAAGAGTATGACAAAGCAAAAGAATTTCACGAAAAAGCGTTGGAAATTCAACAGAAATCACTAGGTCTTGAACATGTTGATGTAGCTATGACTTTAAACGATGTCGGTCATGTGTATTATGAGACCAACAAATATGCCAAAGCCAAAGAGTGTTATGAAAAAGCATTGAAAATTCGACAAAAATCACTAGGTCCTGAACATTTTGATGTAGCTACGACTTTAAACAGTCTTGGTATTGTGTATCTTTGTACTAAATTATATTATCAAGCAACAGCATTTTTTGAAAAAGCGTTGGAAATTCTACAAAAATCACTAGGTCCTGAACATGTTTATGTAGCTACGATTTTAGACAATCTTGGTAATGTGTATTATGATACCAACAAATATGTGAAAGCCAAAGAGTATTATGAAAAAGCGTTGGAAATTCGACAAATATCACTTGGTTTTGAAAATATTGATGTAGCTACAACTTTAAACAATCTTGGTAAGGTGTATTATGAGACCAAAAAATATGCCAAATCCAAAGAGTGCTATGAAAAAGCGTTTGAAATTCGAGAAAAATCACTTGGTTCTGATCATGTTGAAGTAGGTACAACTTTAAACAATCTTGGTAATGTGTATTATGAGACGAACAAATATGCCAAAGCCAAAGAGTGTTATGGAAAAGCGTTGGAAATTCAACAAAAATCACTTGGTCCTGAACATGTTGATGTAGCTACGACTTTAAACAATCTTGGTAATGTGTATCTTTGTACTAAAGAATATGACAAAGCCAAAGAAAGTTATGAAAAAGCGTTTGAAATTCGACAAATATCACTTGGTCCTGAACATGTTGATGTAGCTACGACTTTAAGTAATCTTGGTAATGTGTGTCATCGCATTAAAAAATATGACAAAGCAAAAGAAATTCACGAAAAGGCGTTTGAAATTCGACAAAAATCACTTGGTCCAGAACATGTTGATGTAGCTACGAGTTTAAACAATCTTGGTAATGTGTATTATGAGACCAACAAATATACCAAAGCCAAAGAGTGTTATGAAAAAGCGTTGGAAATTCAACAAAAATCGCTTGGTCCTGAACATGTTGATGTAGCTATGACTTTAAACATACTTGGTAATATGTATTATGAGACCAACAATTTTGCAAAAGCCAAAAAGTGTTATGAAAAAGCGTTGGAAATTCGACTAAAATCACTAGGTCCTGAACATGTTGACGTGGCTACGAATTTAAACATTCTTGGCAAGGTGTACCATCGTATTAAAGAAAATGTTAAAGCAAAAGAATTCCACGAAAAAGCGCTGGAAATTCAACAAAAATCACTAGGTACTAAACATGTTGATGTAGCTATGTCTTTAAACGATCTTGGTAATGTGTATTATGATACCAACAAATATGCCGAAGCCAAAGAGTGTTATGAAAAAGCGTTGAAAATTCGACAAAAATCACTTGGTCCTGAACATGTTGATGTAGCTAAAACTTTAAACAATCTTGGTTATTTGTATAATCGTACTAATGAATATGACAAAGCAAAGGAATTTCATGAAAAAGCGTTGGAAATTCAACAAAAATCACTGTATCCTGAACATGTTGATGTAGCTATGACTTTAACTATTCTTGGTAATGTGTATTATGAGACAAACAAATATGCAAAAGCCAAAGAGTGTTATGAAAAAGCGTTGGAAATTCGACAAAAATCACAAGGTCCTGAACATGTTCACGTGGCTACGAATTTAAACATTCTTGGCAAGGTGTATAATCGTACTAAAGAATATGACAAAGCAAAAGAGTTCCACGAAAAAGCGTTGAAAATTCAACAAAAATCTCTAGGTACTAAACATGTTGATGTAGCTATGACTTTAAACAATCTTGGTAATGTTTATTATAATACAAGCAAATATGCAAAAGCCAAAGAGTGTTACCTAAATTCATTGGAAATTCGACAAAAATCACTTGGGCTTGAACATGTTGATGTAGCTACGACTTTTAGCAATCTTGGTAATGTGTATTATGTGACCAACGAATATGCCAAAGCCAAAGAGTGTTATGAAAAATCGCTGAAAATTCTACAAAAATCACTTGGTCCTCAACATGTTGATGTAGCAACGACTTTAAACAATCTTGGTTATTTGTATAATCGTACTAATGAATATGAAAAAGCAAAAGAATTTCACGAAAAAGCGCTGGAAATTCTAGAAAAGTCACTAGGTACTAAACATCTTGATGTAGCTATGACTTTAAACAATCTTGGTAATGTTTATTATAATACCAACAAATATGCAAAAGCCAAAGAGTGTTATGAAAATGCGCTGGAAATTCGAGAAAAATCACAAGGTCCTGAACATGTTCACGTGGCTACGAATTTAAGCATTCTTGGTAAGGTGTACCATTGTACTAAAGAGTATGTCAAAGCAAAAGAATTTCACGAAAAAGCGTTGGAAATTCAACACAAATCACTAGGTCCTGAACATGTTGATGTAGCTATGACTTTAAACAATCTTGGTAATGTGCATTATGAGACCATCAAATATGCCAAAGCCAAAGAGTGTTATGAAAAAGCGCTGGAAATTCGACAAAAATCACTCGGTCCTGAACATGTTGATGTAGCTACGACTTTAAACAGTCTTGGTAATATGTATTTTGATACCAACAAATATGCCAAAGCTAAAGAGTGTTATGAAAAAGCGTTGAAAATTCGACAAAAATTACTTGGTTCTGAAGATGTTGATGTAGCTACGACTTTTAACAATCTTGGTAGTGTGTATTATCATACTAAAGAATATGACAAAGCAAAAGAATTTTATGAAAAAGCGTTAGAAATTCAACAAAATGCACTAGGTCCTAAACATGTTGATGTATCTACGACTTTGAACAATCTTGGTAATATGTATCATTCTACTGAAGAAAATGATCATGCAAAAGAATTTTATGAAAAAGCGCAGGCAATTCGAAAAAAATCAGTTCCTTCGGCTCTTGTTGTTGTTACTGAATCTTCGAACAGTATTGGTATGTTATTTTTTATTTTTGTATATTATAGCATATATAAGCGTTTTTAGGTGTAACGTTTGAGGTTTTTGAAAATTCAGAGTAAATTATATAGGTCTTTTGTGTTTACAAATCATGAATTATTCTTGTGTTATGTTTGGCTAGATCTGAACAGAGAAAAACAAATTCAGGAATATTTATGAAATTATTTCAAGCTGTTTCTGGTGAAATTGGGACTCATTTGGAGTAATGATGTTATTTTAGGCCGTTTAACCATCCTGAGCATTTATTTAGTTAAGTTCTCTTATATATAGTTTATTTGTAAAGCTATCTTAAAATAGATAAAAAAATATTTGTTTCTTAAAGTTTGATGCAAATTAAGGTCTATGTAATGCACTTCAATATATATTTAGGAGCAAAAATATTTTAAATCTCTTTTAACATATAAATGATGGACTCTCCTGTCGGGGCGACAGATGAGTAGGCATGCAGGTCTATCTGCGAGAGTGGGACCTCATGTGTGAATGGAGGCCAATTTGTGATGCACAAGAACGTCCACAAACGCTGCAGGGGTACTAGACAAGAGGGGCAGAGCGTTGCTTCCTTCGGGCCCTCTTTTCCTTGATGGTGGCTGCTCTACCGGCTTCAAAGCTCCGAGCGCCCTGGGAGCATAGATGCCTCCACTGCAGGCTGTCCCCCGCGAACTCCTCCCAGGTGTTTGGGTCTATGTTACAGCTCTTGATGTTGGCAATAAGGGTGTCTTTGTATCTCTTCAGCGGTCTTCCTTGGACACGGCTACCGTCTCGCAGTTGACCATACAGCAGCATCTTTGGGATTCTGCTTTCATCCATCCTTACGACATGGCCTGTCCATCGGAGTTGAGCTTTGATGATCAAGCTCTCAATGCTGGGGAGTCCACACCTTTCAAGGACTTCAAGGTTGGACACTTTGTCCTGCCACTTGATGCGGAGGATTTTTCTCAGGCAGCGCTAGTGGAACTGTTCCAGCTGTTCTATGTGCCTGCGACAGGTGGTCCAGGTTTCACAGCAGTACAGCAGAACACTCAGGACCACAGCCCTGTACACAGCAATTTTGGTGACGATCTTGAAGCCGTGCTCCCCCTCCAGAGTCTTCTCTTTAGTCTGCCGAAGGCAGCACTGGCCTTTGCAATACGCAGCGTTACCTCTGCGTCCAGGGAACCATTGTTGCTGATGGTGCTGCCAAGGTAGCAGAGCTTGTCAACAGTCTTGATGTTGGTGTGGTCAATGATGACAGGAGGTGGTGGTGAGGTGTCACGAGTCTGGGATGGTGGAAGTCGGACCAGGGTCTCAGTCTTGCCCAGGCTGATGGTCAACCCAAAGCGATCACATGCAATTGCGAAGCGGTCTGTTATGCACTGGATGTCTTCATGGGAGTGGGCGGCTAGTACACAGTCATCTGCGAAGAGAAATTCACGCAGGAGTGGCTCGTAGACTTTGGTCTTGGCCTGAAGTCTTCTAAGGTTGAAGAGCTTTCCAGCAGTACGGAACTGAATGTACAGCCCTTTGTCGAATTCACGGAAGGAGTCGAGCAGGATGGAGAAGAGAGTAGGGGCAAGAACACAACCTTGCTTCACACCGTTCTTCACAGGAAATGGGTCCGATGTCTCCCCACTTTCCTGGACTCTTGCCTGCATGCCATCGTGAAAGGAGGCTACCAGAGAGACTAGCTTCTTTAGAAATCCAAATTTTCCCAGGATCCTCCAAAGGTCTTCCCGATTAACGGTGTCGAATACCTTAGTTAGGTCTACGAAGACCATGTGGAGTTCCTTGTTTTGCTCGCGGCACTTTTCCTGCAACTGGCGAATGGCGAAAACCATGTCAGTAGTTCCCCTGTCTGCCCGGAAACCACACTGAGATTCAGGGACGATGGCCTCGGCAACATTTGTGATTAGCCTGTTGAGAAATAATCGGGCTAAAACCTTGCCTGCGATGCAGAGAAGGGATATGCCTCGATGGTTGTCACATGAGGTCTTATCGCTTTTCCTCTTATAGATGTGCACGACGGCAGCATCTTTGAAGTCCTGGGGGACCTTGGCAACTTTCCAAACCTCCTGGAACAGGGATTTTAGTTTGTCCAGGAGTGCCTGGCCTCCGTTCTTGTAGACGTCAGCTGGAATGTTATCAGGTCCAATAGCCTTTCCAGACTTTGTCTGCTTGAGGGCTTTCGCAACCTCGTCTATGGTGTGTGGGTCGGCAATTTCCTCTTTGATTGGCAGTTGGGGGAGGGACTCAATGGCTTCTTCGTTCATCTGTGACTCTCTATTCAGCAGTTTGTTGAAGTGTTCAGCCCAGCGTGAAAGTATGTCAGCTTTGTCTGTTAGCAGTGTCGTTCGGTCTGCAGACCTGATGGGGGTAGAGCTTGATGATTTTGGACTGTACACCGCGCGAAGCCCATTGTGGAGCTTTTTTGAGTCGTGAGCATCAGTTTCCACTTAGATTTCTTCGGCTTTTTTTCCGACCAGGCGTTCTTCATTTCCCGCAGCTTGTGTTGCACATGCTGCCTTACTTGCTGGTAGTCTTGCTTCTTCTTCTCGCAAGCTTTGTTCCCTTTATGGTCACTGTGAGCCTTATGGAGCCTGTCAATAAGCATGTTGATCTCAGTGTCATTCTCGTCTAACCAGTCTCGATGTTTTCGCTCAACGTATCCAAGGACACTCGCTGCAGAGTTGTAGACGTCTTCTTTGAAAGTGCTCCAGTGTTCCTCTATATCCTCGCCCGCGATGTTAATGTTTCCCAGGGCTACCTCTCGCTTCTCTTGCAGCTCTTCTTTGTTGGGTGGAATGCAAGCTACATTCAACTTCCTCAGTGGCTTCTCTCTTGCTAATTTGTTCTTTCTGGCGAGCTGGATGTTCATCTTGCTCCGTAACAGGCGGTGATCAGACCAACAGTCGGCACCACGCATGCAGCGTGTGATGTGCACGTCTCTGCGGTCCATCTGGCGGACGATTACGTAGTCGAGCATGTGCCACTGTTTGGAGCGAGGGTGCATCCATGTGTTCTTCAGCTTGTCAGCTTGTTGAAAGAGAGTGTTAGTGATGGTTAGCTCGTGCTGTGCGCACAGAGATAGTAGCGTCAGGCCATTGGAGTTGCACTTGCAGTTCCATGGTGACCCAGAATGTTTGGCCATATGGTGTAGTCTACTCCAACTAGTGTGCTAAAGTCTCCAAGGATGGTGAGTTTGTCTCTGCGGCAACCTCTGCCTGTTCCCGTCAACATTTCTCCATCGCCACAGGACTAGAGATAGCTGGCGCAAAAAATGGATGGTTGCATCACTTGATTCCGGCAAACCTGCTTGCCTGACCAGCACAGGTGAATGTTTTAGGTGAAGAGGGGATGTGCATGCCCGTCTCCACCCTCTCGCCTACTTACGCTCAATGCTCCACAGGTGCAGAGCTGCCACGTGTAGAGCGGCCCCAGCAGGTGCAGCTTTCTTCTTCGGAGTGTTAGTCTCCTAGCCTTTCCCGTGGCCGAGTACACCGCAAGGCAGCGGCGGTTTGGAGTCAGGGTTTTCCTTCCCCTAGGTGGGCTACCTTTCTGGGTTAACGAGCCACCACATGCCCGAAGCATCTGGTTTTAAGGCGCCAGAGACCCGCCTTCGCCCCTTCTCCTGTCGGTAAAAGCAGTTCCGCCGGGCTTAGAAGTAAAGCCACACGAGCAGCCCAGGAGTTGGACTTGGTTGAGAGAGGCTGTTTGAGACGCACGCCGTAAGGAGCATTTTGTAAACACCGGGAGCTTATCTCCGGAGCCACTCCTGGCTGTATCAACTTTTGAAACCACATATAAATAGACTTAAACTAAATTAAACTACTAAGAAACAACGACACATGCAACTAAAATTTATTTTTGATAAACTTTTTCTTGTTTTCTTTCAATCATATGCTTTATTATGTGGTTTGCAATTTATGGCTAGAAACTACTGAGAGCCTTTTCATCCTAAATCTTTCTATTCTGATATACCTAAATACAATTTGTTTGACTTTGTCCTGGTTCAACTATTTTTCTTTTTTGTGTTACCTGCTTTTTACTTAATATGAACGTATGCTTTAAAAAATCTTAAGTACTCTATTTAAGATTGTTTTCGGTTTTTAGCATAGCTACAAGGCTGGGGTTAGTTGTTTTTATTACAAATATATTTTGTCAGTTCTATATATGACGAGTTAAAAAAATTTCTACTAATTCCGTTTAACTTTAGTTATTAAAATTTGAAAAATTAAAAAAACTTAAATTAAAATTAGGACATAAATAAAGTTTTACATTTTTTTAGATTTTTATTTTAAACATTTTAAGAAAAATACCAGATTTACAATACTTGGATTTTAAAAATGCTATTTATTACTTTAAAAACCAAAATTGACATATATGTTTGTTCTTGGAAAGAACGTGTAGCTAAATTCTAATAATTTAGTTGATGAAATGATTCTTGGTTTTTTTCTTTTTACTTAATTTAGTAAACTTTATAAACTCCAGTTAACTCAGTCTTTCCCTAGAAACATATTTATTATAAAAAGCACCATTCTATTTTACGCTATGGTTCACTTGCTCTACTTTATATCTTTTTAAAGAAATAAATTCTGATGATACTGCTGATGGTAAATCCCCTTCAAATTTACCCGTTCATACGGAGAAAGTAGAAGGTATGATTATTGTATTAGAAGGTAAATATACAGAATTTAGAGCTTTATTAGATGAACTCTTTATTAGTCAAAAAGAGTGGAAATCGTGAAAATACTTGGAATCTAGATCAAGTTGATTTCATTATTTCTTCGAATATTCTTTCACTTTTGTTTATAAATATTGCTCATTGTTAAAAAACTAAGCGATTAGAACATTTTGCAATCACAGATAACGCAAAACGTTGCAAATTTTGGTGTTATTTTTAGGTTGTATTATTTCAAATGACACATGTTACTTTTGTGACATTATATGCTATAAAAAACCAGCATTGATTATAACAAATTTTATATACAAAACGTCAAACGTAAAGCACATCCAGGTGTCTCACTATATTCCTTTCCAAAAATTGTACAGTTCTCTAAGGAAAACTGAGGAAGAAAAAAATGAAGATTAATTAAATTGTATTCTTCATTGACAATCACAACTATTTTAAATCAAATTTGAAAATAATCATTTTTACTACATAAATAACCTATCCCACAAAAAACTCTTAGCTGAAATCAAGTAGTTTTCCGCATAAAGTGGAATTCAATTCTTAGAACATGTTTGCGTTACATTCTTTATGCTGCAATTTTTTTGTTAACGCACAATATCAAATGCCTAACAAATTAAAAGACAATACAAAAACTTAGAAGACATAAAGCTTGGGAGCAAAATACTTCTGTGCATAATTTTGATCTTAAGACAGTAAACACTGGCATGGCAACAATTACGCTTGAAACCATTTAGTTTAACAAGCTTTTTCATATTTGCACTAAGTTGCATTATTTGCTGTTTTTTACGTGTGAAATATGTGAAGCTCCTTGCATGCAGTTAATTTAAAAACTGAACAAATTTTCTTAAGGCAAAATTGGATTCCACTTCTTCTTGCCATGAGTGAGGAATGAACGAGTAGCATAAAAAGAATACAAATTCAACATGCAGTATTTAACGCAAACCATATACGAAGATGCACGGGTAATTGTTGTTGTATTACATAGATATATGAAAAGGCATGTTATGCCTTCGCTTATCATGATGACGAGTACAATTAAAATCTATAACTTCAATTTAAGGTATATCTTGCTCAATTTTTTAACTCCAACTCTTCATCAGCTACGTCACTACGTAGAAACAAGATATTTTTAAAGTGTGCAGAAGTTTCTATAGTATGAAACCTATTGTAAAAGACATATTCTTACATTATTTAGTATACACGTAAATAAATACTGAGCCAAATTAACAGAAAATTACTTGTTCAGATACACGCACTGACCAAGTGTGTTTTAGTTTGTTTCCAGCAGTGAATACGTTTTTTCTGAGTTTGCATAAGTTCTTTATAAAAATTATAAATAATGTAGCATCTTTGCCTCCGTATAAAGAAACAAAAGCATAAACAGTTTATGTGTATGTTGTTTCAGTTAGAGTTCTGACGTCAGAGTTACTAAATTCTGGCAGTCAGTACCTATCTAACATTTCATATTACTTTATTCACTCCACTCAAATGCTCACTCCACACAAAACCAGCACTCTCATCATCAAAGACTCTTTTTCATTCGTTCAAGAACTCTTAAACCGCAACATCAACTCAAGCAGTGCTGTTATGGTAAGCTTTGACGTAAAGTCACTCTTTACGAACATACCTGTGGCGAAACAATTGATATCACTCTTAAAACCTTATTCTCTAACACGTCCTCCTACAAAAATTTTTCACGTTCCATTTACATAACCTGCTCACATTAGCTGTAAAAAACTGTCATTTCATCTTTGACGGTCATGTGTACCAACATGTTGACGTTGTTGCAATGGTAGCTCGTTATGACCACATTTTGCCAACATTTTTATGTCATATCACGAACGAAAATGGTTCCACAATCAACTAGAGGTGGTATAAAAACTGTTTCTTTCAAATGGTTTCCCCTCTCAAAATTTTCACAACACAGTTCGCCTCTTCCTCGACAATGTTTTTTCATCCCAAACCACCTATTATAACCGTGCCCAAGTAGCTCGTCTATTTCTGCCTTTCCTACACAGGCTCACACTCTCTCCAAACACGCAAGCAACTTAACCATCTCTGCAACGCTGACTTCTCTCTCGTTAACGTTAGATTTGTTTTCCGTCCTTCTATACACATTTCCTTTTTCTTTTATTCAAAGGTAAGATTTCCAAGTTCCTGAACTCTAGTGTTGTTTATCTCTTTAAGTGTCGACGCTGCAAAGGGACTTATGTTGGTCAAAACACACGACATCTTCAAACCAGAATCTAAGAGCACCGGGGAATTTCGTCCCAGACAGAAAAAAGTCACATCAACATATCAGGTCACACAGCTTCCTTGGAAAACTTCACTATCTTCTCATTCTCACCTTAAATTCCTGACTTAATGATCCAAGAAAGCCTCCTGCTCTCAAATCTAACACCTACACTGAATATCCAATGCAGTTCCATCCCACTCAAATTTTTCTAAATATCCTACTTTGTTTTACGTCTATCTCACACTCCATATCAGTATCTTCACTCATACTTTTTATAATATTTTTATGTGCATATATATCATGTTCATCACACCTCTCTGTAATTCAATACTCATAACTATACTTCTAATAAGTAAATATAAACCCACACTTAAACATTTTAATTACCTGTCTGATTATGCCTTGTGTAAAGACAATACGTCACATATAATAATTAAATTCTTTAAAAAAATGGCTTTATTCACAATTTTATGTTAGGCAATTATCACTGTTGGCTGATAATTTATAGCTACGTACCGTATGCAGTTTAAATTATGCAAAAAATTGCAAATTAATTTCACTGTAGCAAAACGCACTTTGATAAAACTTCCAATGTAGATCACACAAATTTGGTGCTAGCATTTAGACACATTACTACTGAAAACACTAATATATTGTTATCTATATTTGTACTGAAATCAACATGACACACCTTTCATGTATTTTAACAAGTTTCATGCTATGTATATCTATATAGCTGATGTAGGATGTCCAACATTTTCTTCCAAAGTAAAAATTGTTATTAACCTGCCTTTAAATGTGTGTTTTTTTTCGCAGAAATTAACAAAATTCTGCTAAAGTTTGCAGAAGAAATTCCTGATAAATGGAAGAATTTGGCAATATTTCTGAATATTAGAGATGCGACAATAAAAAAAATTGAACTAAATTATCGTGACGTGAGCTGGCAAGGGTTTGAAATGCTAAAGTTTTGGTTTGAATCAAGAGAAAATAAGAAGTTGTGGTACGAAGAACTTGCCGCTGCTTTTTGCAATATCGAGAAAAATCATTTGGCTGAAGACGTTCTTCATAAAGGTGCAAATGTTGCTAAAAATTGTTAAACTGAAATTAAAAGGTCATTTGTCCATTTTTTATAATGTAAATCTCAGAAGCCAACATTGGATTGTTTATATTGACTTACGCTTTAATAATATACATGAAAAATTTTCTCAGTTCTCATTGGTTAATTAAGAGCAGTGCAACTTATTGTAAATACCAGTGGAAAAAATTAAGACACACGTGCAGAAAAAAGGAAATACAGTGCAATTTTTTTAAGAAAAATTTGCTCCTGATTGGTTAATCAAACAAAGAAGTGATCTAAGAGCCACTCAAAATAAAACATTTCAAAGGTGTGAAAGTTAAATTAAAGTACACAAAGCAAATGCAATGGCCGGCGCAAGCTTAAGTAAATTTTCTTTGGTGAACAAGTTTACAATTCACCGTTTGCAAGACGTGTTTGGAAAAAAATATGAACACTGCCAAAAGTAGTTATCTTTTTCTAGCTGCGTGTGTTAAAGCTATGGTGTTATGAAAAGTAATATCCGAGCCAGTCATATTTGAGAAATTTTTTCATATATATTAAGCACTTAATAACTGAGCTCGAGGTCTTTACGGACGGACTGAGGTCCTTTTGCACTAACCAAGCCCGTAGTAAAGTAAAGATCGTGAAAGCGAGGTTATTGAAATGTTTATTATATACGGCATTATTTGACCTGAACAAAGCTTGTTTTCTTTCTCGTCCTGGCCGTTTTGTAAGGGTTGGCTTTCATCTTTCTAGTTTTTGTCAGTAAAAATAAATCATTTTTAATTTTGTATCGTCTGCATAATTAAACTTTTTTTCGAAAATTTTTTCTTCTACTCACATTCATAAATGGTTTTTGTTTCGTTTTTTTTTTTGTTTTGCTTTTTTTTCAAGAACTTTGTTTACATTTTACATCGGACTATAAAATTACCTCATTTTCGACTGTGTAATATTCTTTATTTTTCTTGATACGTCTGTCAGTAGTACTTATGTACACGACTATGAGTTTCTTATATAGATAAAAATTAGCATAAATGTATATTAATCATGTTTTATATCAATATTTTACAACTCTCTTTTTAAAACTAGTATCCTTGTATTTTTCTGTCTGATTTTTCTATTAATTTCTTTCTAGTATAAATAAACGATTAACGAACTATTCCCTATGTAATGTAACTAATGTTCTGATTTTATAAATGTCTATATTAGAGGTTAAACATAGTCTTTTCATTGTATTGGCTTACTTACGATACATCCTGATCTTGTCTTCATTGGTGATAAAGTCATTCCAGCTGAACATATCGATTGCTCGTCTTTTACTCTTGTTTCTTTAAGTTGTGTTTATTCTTTTGTGTCTTCTTCATTTTTCTTTGAGTGCAAACGAAGAGAAGACTGCAAATTTTGATGGTTAGTTTTCCTCATATGTCTTCTATTTCATCGATATTCTGCACCCTCAGATGTTTTCACATTATAACTTCTTGGGGTGTCCGCTTTGCTTAGGACAGCAGGTGGTTTCCATTTCCATTCTCTTTCAACATAAATATTTTCACCTTAAATCAAGTTTTCGAGGGATTTCGGTGATCTGTGGTAGTATTCTTTTTCTTTTTGTTTTTTTTTCAATTTTGTTTGAATGATATCAGGATTCACTGTTTTTGGAATAAGTTGTTTTTGTCGAGGATGGCATATTTGATCGAAGTCTTCTTCTCATGCTATATTGTGCTGGTGATCCAATGTCATCAATTGGTGTATTACTTTGCTCTAATATGACTAAATTTAAATCTCGATTATCTCTTCGAGATTTCGTTAGAGTGGACTTTGACGTTTATACCTTTTTCTCCGCTAAACCATTTGATTGTGGATACCCTGGGTTGGACATTATGTGTTCGAACCCCCCGTTTTGGAAAATTCAGCAAACTCTCTTGAAGAGTATTGTGGATCATTGTTGGATTTAACGTTTTCTGGAATTCCATGTCGTGCGAAGTGTGTTTTCATTTTATCTATTATTGCGAGACCCTTTGTAATGGTAGTTTAAATATCTCCCAGAATGCACTGTAATAGTCCACAACCAGAAGGTAATCATCATTATTCTAATAGAACATGTCTGTTGCCACAGTCTGCCATGGGTATTTTTTATTGTATGTGGTAACATAGGCTCTTTTTGATTGGTGCATCTATATTCAGCACAAATTGAGCAATTTTCAACATCTGTCTTAATATCTTTATTTATACCTGGCCAGTATTCAAGCTCAAGAACACGCTGTTTACTTCTTTCAATGCCCATGTGGCTTTGATGAATTTTATTTAAAACACTTCCTCGCAGTAAGGGTAGAATGAAGATCTTTTCTCCTTTGAACACCACACCTTCAATTACTGTCAGTTCTTCTCTGTAGCTCCATAATGGTTTTAAGAAGCTTGAAAGATTTTTCTTATCATTCGGCCAACCTTCAGTAATCACTCTCACTAGCTCTTTCATCATATCGTCCTTTCTAGTTTCTTCAGTGATATCTCTTCGTTTGCCGTCAGAAAATGGTGCATTGAGATCATAGCAATCGCTTGATAATCCAAATCAAGTGTTTCTTCCTCTGATTTAAAATTTGACAAATGGGCTCTGGACAACGTATCTGCTATGTATAATTCAGTTCCCAGTTTATATTTTACCTCAATATCAAACCGCTGTAAATTCAGTAGCATTCTTTGCAAATGAAGTGATGATTTATCCAACAATTTCTTTCTGATGGTTTCCAGTGGCTGATGATCCGATTCTACTGTGACATGCCTGTTATAAATGCACTGATAGAAGCGATTACACTTAAACACGACCGCTAGCAACTCTTTTTCTATCTGTGCATATCTTGTTTTTGCTTGTGTCTTGATCTTGAAGCGTATGCTACTGGTCTATTTGATTGAATAAGTACTGCTCCTAGTCCCAATTTCAAGGCGTCTACTTGAAGATAAACTGATTTCATTACATCACAATATGCTACGATGCCAGGCTGTGGACTTGAGAGTAAGGTCTTTGTCTCTTCAAAATATGAGAATGTCTTTCGGTCCAGTGCCACGCTATGTCTTTTTTTATGTAATTGACGTAAAGGTGAAGTGATTTCCGATAAATTTGGTATGAATTATCAAACTTAATTGACCATACCAAGAAGTCTTTGAAATCGCTTCTTGTCTTCGGGTTGTGGCATGTTTACCATTGCTTCTAGTTTCCGTGGATCTGGCTTAACACCTTTGTGTGTGAGCTGATGTCCAATATACACCACACTCTTTTTTCTAAAGTGATCGTTTTATAATTTAAACTTTCGATTGCACTCTATAGCTCGACCCAGCGTTGCCTTGAGACGCTCATCATGTTCTTAAAGTGTTTTACCCCAAACAAGAATGTCATCGATGTCTGTTTCGACTGTAGCTATATCATTAAAGATTTCATGTATTCTTTTGTGAAACACTTTTGAGCCCTTTTGATTCCAAACGGCATTCAGGTAAATCTAAATGGTGTATTGAAAGTCGTGAGCTTTGAGCTTTATTCATCCTGAGGTATTTGCCAATAGCCCGATTTTGTATCTAACGTCGAGAAGAAACATGCACCTGGTGTTCGAGCAGTGATTTCTTCGATAGTCGGAAGCTGATAATGTTCTCTTTTCAAAAGCTTTATTGAGGTCCCTAAGATCAAGACAGATGCGTAAACTTCCATCTTTTTTCTTGACAGCAACTATCGAATTGACCCAATCCAACGGCTCATCGACTTTTACCAAAATTTCTTTCTTCACCATATCTTCGAGGGTTTTTGCTAGATGCTCTCGCAGAGGATGTGGAACTTTTCGCGGCAGATGTATGACCGGATGTATATAAGGGTCCACTTCCATGTGATATAGTTTTGAGAGACAGCCAAGACCTGTAAATACATCTTCTTATTTGGTTCGAATTTGTTCTGAATATTCATCTGTAGAAGCATGTTGTGTTGAATTTGACGTGCTCTCATCGGATACTTGTGATTTCAGTCCTTGAGTAAACTTGACGAGGTTTAATTCTTTGCAGGCTGCTATACTGAGTATAGGCTCACTGGGTGTATGTGATATAAAGAAATCCAAATCGTACTCCTCTTCTTGGCATTTGCAATGCAGAGTACATACAGCTTTAACGGGAACAGGCTTGCCGTTGTATGCGATGAGATTAACTGCTAGCTTTTTTAACGGTATTCTTGTAATGCTTGCTAATGATTTATATGTTTTAACTGGGATGACGTTCACTTCTGCACCAGTATCTAGTTTTAACTTGACTTCAGTATTGCTCACGCACAGTGTTGCTGCTGTTGCATATTCCGCTTGATTGTGATTGATTCTTGTTTTGTTTATGGCAGCTTGTATTGTATCGAGGAATAGGAAATCGTCGCTTACTTCTTCTGGATTAGATCCATTGTTAGATCCCTTTGTCTCAATTGAGTTTAATTTTCCACTTGAGCAACACTTCTTGGCGTAATGATTGAATTTCTTGCATTTCTTACATTTCCGACCAAACGCTGGACATTTTTGTTTAGGATGTTTGTTTCCAAAATGCATGCATTTCTTTTCTATGTTATATTCATTACGATTTTCCTTTTACTTTTTATTAACGTGCTGTCTTTTGGAGATGTTTTCTCGTCGTGGATGACGAGGCCTGTGGATAGAATCTATTTCTTTGTTGTTATCAAACAGTTTTAACTGTTGTAACGATAATTCATCCGCTTGACAGATTTCAATCGTCCGAGTGAGTTTCAATTTGGGTTCTCGAAGAAGTCCGTCCCTGACTCTTTTTGAGATGATACCACGTGTGGAAACAGCTTACACACTGTACAGTTCACGGTCGATAAGTAATATTTATTAATAGTTCATAAAATTTCGTTTGTTTTTAAACAAAATCAATTTAGTTAACTGGAATCTGTAACATCGTTGTCCATTTTGAATAAAACGGTTTCATTAAAACGCTTGCTGTACTTGAAGAGCCTAAGGGTGAAGTACTTGTCGCCAGTGCACGTAATCAATTTCATCTTGTGGTTTTCATCAGGCCATTTATTAACTCAAAAGTATGATCTTCAAAGATGTTTAAATGACTTGATTTGTCGGTAATGATGACAGACTTCCATGATTATTTTACATCGTAGGTTTCTGCTTGAGTTTATGTCATGTCCATTCTTGATTTTAGATTCTCTTCTCATGACACCCATGTGTCCTTAAGTTTTCTTTTCAGAAGTTGCTTGTATCCCTTTGCCTGAGTAGATCTGGAATTAAGAATGTCAAATACCCTGTCAATCATTCTTGTAAATTTCTTTATAGGCTGACTTTTTGGCTCACTTAAGTTTCATTGAAACATTCAAGAATTCAATTGTATTTGCCATAGATGAGCTCAGAGTCTGGGCTCTGTCGTGCCCTACTGATTTCTTTTAAAATTCAACTCACTTTTAAAAGAAGTCAGTAGGGCACAACGGAATATATGGATATGCACCTCCCCGAATAACTTTCTAGTAAAGACTCTGGGCTCAGGTATATGTACTATTGCGTGACGCAAGATCAATAAAAGATCAGCAAACAGAAGTGCCACTGGCAGCCTTGAAACCTTTTTTATGTCCAATCAATTTGCGTAAATATTAATTACTTTCTTTGATTCACGTTCAATGCTTGTCACGCGCGAAAATTCGTTTAATTTCATGCACGTATGTTTGTTAACGCATATATTCAGACTGCATGGCTAGTACAGTTTTTGAATTAAATGCTGCCAATCTGGGATGCCTTTCAACATTCAAAAACATGACGAATGACAAGCAAGTGGCCCTGAATTATATACGTTTTGAAAAGTTTTTGCTACAAACCCTAAAAACATTGATGTTTTTCATGCATTATAAACAAATTTTAATGTTGAAAAAGCTACAAAAATATAGTAAAAACAAACGTTATTATTGTGCCGCAGATGTTTTCTATGATTTGTCACTTATCTATGGAATATTTACGGTTTTCTGAAAAAATTTGAATTAACGTTCGGTAATTTTGTGTTGAAAGTTTCCTACTTTGTCAAAATATAAGACTGCTAAGACCACAAAAAATTAAAGATAGACAAACATATTGCACATGAATAAGAATTGTGTTCAATACATAAATCGATTGTATAAAAAACTCAAACGGATTTCAAGGACGCCAATGGGAATGCCGTAAAAGGTTGTTGACTTAAAGGAAACAGTTAACTTGCCAGGATAATTAACGGCTGAAAAAGAATGTTAGGCATTTTTGTTGTAATGAAGCAGGTTAATACGATAAAACTTTAAAAATAATGAAAGACAGCGAGACAGGAGGAAGGCGTGGTTGCCTCAAAGGTCAAATTTAAGCATACGCCAGCATCGACAAATAAAGTGAATCCAAACTCACATGCATCCTTTTATAGACACTGACATTTTGATTACCCTCTCATATTAAATTAAAAGTGCAATGTAAAATATCTTGCTCACGAAAATGACAAAGCTAAAAAGCATTTGAAACATATAGGGGTAAAATATCGTGCATGTTGTCTACACAAATAAAGCCTTTTTAAAATGTTATTTTTTATTATTTCATTTAATCAAAGACACCAAAAATAGCAGGCTTTGCCTTTATAGAAAGAGGGAACCCAAATTTATTGTTATTTGATAATTTAGATTTCAGCTTCGGTGAGATCCAGTAATGAGGAGAAGTTATATAGCTGGACTTTAGTCAGAAAAAAGATCTTTCCCGTCATTATCTGCAACATATTAAACCTAGTTTGGTTGCAATTAAAATTCGGATTCAATGTGAGATTTGTTTAAAGTGCTACAGCCACGAATTTTCCGACCACTTTTTTATTAACTTTCTTTAAGATATGCGCTTTACTAACACATTGGCCAAAAACAGAATTAAGATTGGTCACTTCTAACAGATTTTGTAGCTTTGTAAAGTTGCGATTTTCGCTGTATATTGTGCGAAGTTTTTGTTTGTCGTGTGACATCACAACGATGATCACTCCTAAACATGGCGTATAGAACTAATAGTGATAAACGCCTTCGCAGACGTAGAAGTTGTGTTGCTGGCGATCCAAAGTTAGAAATTCCTACCAATACACAATTTATTGAAAGAATATCATTTATCTTGTTACTAAAAAGAAAAAGATCTGAAACGGCGGAGAAAGGGGGGTAATTTTGTCCGTAAACATCGATCAAATTTTCAAGCTCCGGCTAGATCGCATCTTCGATCAACTTTGACGATTCATGCTATAACATGAATCCTGCGTTGACTAAGTCGCTCAAAACTAAAGCAACGTTGAAAGACATTGTCATTCCTACTATTGATGTGGCAGGAACTGTTCCAGCGGGTGAAGACTTGACAATAGAGAGAAAACGAATCACGTATAGATAATTAGACTTGCGTTATGGACGAGCGCGCAAGCACATACGGATTTCAGTATGATATTATTGTTGACTTTGTCAATTGATATTTCATTTTATTTAAGATTGTGCGTCGCCGCAAGAATCTGTGAAAAAGAAAAATGTTGGAAGCAATGTCTTTATCGAAAATTTCAAATAATATGTCAAATAGCATGTTTGTGAACAATAAATTAACATCTTGCAGGCATCGTGACTCTTTTAATTAAAAAGCCAAAAAATGAAAAACAGGTTGTTGTTGGAGTTGATTGTCGATCTTTTTAAACTGAGTAAGCCCCCTATTGCTACCATGAAAAAAGTAAAACGAAGTCAAACTATAAAGAAACGAGTGTAACGGTTTAATGCCATGATGTTTTGGCTTCAAAGCGGGCATAAAACTATGATATTTGGAGCGGGTTACGGGGGGTGGGGGGGAGGTGGGACCGAAGTAATGTCCAGATATCACATGCATCTTGCTTAAGGTTTTGGCTTTAAAATTTTATAGTATCTCTTAGGAGCCTGTTTATTAAGTTTGACAAATGTACATAATAATTAAGTACAGCAATAATTATGCTGACTGAGGTATGTTCTTTCAGAATTTGATAAAATCTCTGTTAATTGTGTACTTAGGCATTACTTTTCTATCTTCAATGGTAGTTAGAGTACGTAATAACTTCAATTAAACGAGAGAAGATATGGGATTTCTTTGCAGTTTATGCATTAGCCACAGAGTTTTCCGCTCATTATCTTTATGATTTTTTTGGGGGGGTAATTGAGTTTTTAATTTTGTACATGAGGAAATACAACACGAAGGTACTGGAGTTAGATGGCCTTGACGGTCTCAGTTACTTTTTACTACAATTACATACATAAAGTTTTAGTTATGTTTACCCCGAATTCTGTCATTTTGATGAATAATGGATTATTATTTTTTTTGACAACAACGAATGTAAAAAGCATACTTACTTTGTTTATTAATGCATTACAGTAACAAGTATATGCTATTACATTTGCTCATCCTATAATATTATTCACTTATAACAATTCAATCTTGAATGTAAATCAAAAACTTTAACCTTTTTATTTTTGCGAAACAAGATGTTTCGTAGAGTGTTATGTACTGTTAGAGAGTGAGTTGATACGATTTAACATAAAGACGAATTTCTTTTACGACTTTCGAGTGACAACGACATATCCGTCTCCATTGTTGTTAAAACCAGGCTTGTTTACTTGATATTTCCCTGCATTGTAAGATCCACCTCCACCACCACAAGATCCATTCACATTATCCCCAGATGCTCCACCTGAGTAGCCCCCACCTCCACCTGCTCCTCCACCATTACCATATTCTCCACCACCACCTCCAAATTTACCAACAGCATTGTTAAGCTTGGCACGTCCTCCTGCTCCTCCATTTATGAAAGCAAAACCTCCTTCTCCACCATTTCCATACTTTCCACCAAACTGTTTACTACTTCTTCCATTGCTGTAAAATCCACCTCCTCCACCTCCTACAAAAACATGAAAGTAACAGATAAGTTTCACGTTATTTTGACGTCAATTTATCGTCAAGATTTCATAAAATAAAAGCACTTCTCGTGTTTGTCATTGATTGATAAAAAAATTAGTATACAAACCATTGAACTAAAATGCATGGAAAGCTTCCTGAAATACAAAACCTTAATAATTTTTTCAAGCCATGACTTTACTCTAAACACGCGAGAATTTACCTCAGACACGCGTGTTTAGTCAACTATTATTCCACGAGAAAATATCGAAAAACTACACACGCGTGTCTGTGGTAAAATATCGCGTGTCTGATGTAAGATTTGCCTTCAATTATTGGATTCAGATGGCGTTCCATGTATTTTAATTCAATGATACAAACAGATATTGTAAAATCTGATATTATACCTGAATTTCCTGAATCTGCCTGCTTTGCTCCCTGTCCATTTACTCCTCCAGCCCAGATTCCACAAGGTGTGACACATTTATTATTTTTTCCCGATGTCTTATTGCTGGCATCACAATTTTCTAGACGTTTGTTCAGGTTTTCTAAACCACCACGTCCTCCAGCAACCAGTAGTGGAACATTGTTGTTCCTTGCAACAAAAGAACCTCCACGTCCTCCTGAAGATTGGTAAACAGTATTAACAAGTGCTTTTTGCCCAACCAGAATTTTGATAACTTCTCCTTTCTTTAAATCGAAGTCCCCTCTCATGTAAGCCCCACGACCTAAAAACGACATGGTCTTCAAAATCAATGAAAGAAAAAAGAAATTTGTTGTTTAGAAATGTTATATTCACAAAGAACGCTAAAGTAATTAAACTCTAACTATGAAAATTAACATGGAATTTTTACATGATATAAAACTAACATATTTTAAGCATTTTGGTTTTGTATGTTTCAACAATCATGATCATAACCATTCGTAACTACAAATTTAAAATTCAATTTATTTATTACCTCTGTAAGTAGAGCCAGATCTATCATAACCTCCTTGTGCACCGACAGCCGTAATTTCATAAGTTCCAGTGTAAGGTACAGTCCAATACTGGATACCTTTTAATACTCTAACCATGTTTACATGATCTTGATATTTATAATATTGACCAATTGAGGTTGGACCTTGACGACCAGTTGCTACAAGATTTGTAAAGTTTGCGTTAAATCGAGGGAATCCTGATAATTTAAAATATTTCGTGCAAGATGACGTGAAACAAAGAAAAGTCAATTTAATTGCTAGCAAACGTATAAATAAACTTTTATTCAGGATAATTTGTTTATAGATTAGAAAAAGTTTTTTTTTGTTTACTTACCATAAGTTTTGTTCGTACATAATGATTCATATGATCTTTCATACGATTCAACTTCTTTTTTGATGTCATCACAGCATTCAAGAGAAAGTGAAGTATTGTTTATACACAATACTTTGTAGGCATCCATTTTACTTTCAACCAATGTTTTGATTTTATTACAGCATAAACCCTGACTCCTAATTACAAGGAAATATTTAAATAACAAGATAAGTATTTTCCTATTTGCTTCTTTATCTTAATCTGAATGAGCCTTTAATAAAGCAAATTTATGAAATTTCTGATCAAAGTCGTGTTTTATTAATATCTAAAAAGTACAGTTTCAATTATATTTAATTATTTTTTAAAAATGTGCATTTTTGAAAGTAATATCATAGATCTATACATCATTACAACAATTAAATACTTGCATGAGTGATTGACTATTTATTCAAAAACCCACTTTTACGTGTTATAGAATTAGGGAGTGAGCGTAAAACGAGTACTTACTCTTGAATGGCAGCGTACAAAAACACGAGAGGGAAAAAAATTCCAAAGTTGACTTTCGCCATCTTTAGTAGAAATCTTGCAGACAAATGATGAAACGAAAATAAGTTTGGGCCTCATATAGTTGTGCATATGACTGTTTACTTCCCGAGTTCAGACATAACGTTCATGTGACAGGATGAAGCTCATATTTCATTACAAGATTAAATAGTTTTAATGTTATTAAACAAAAAGAATGACAGCAAAATGCTATAACCAACAACTTTTTAACTCTGCTATACTGGTCACAAGCCCGGGACTTGTAGCATCTCGTTTACAAGGAAGAGGAGTGGAAGGTTAACATCTCAAATGTTGTTGGAAAAGATTGTTATTCTTAGTAGTTGGTTATAGCATTATGCTGTAATTCTTTTTGTTTAATAACATTCCAACTATTTAACCTTGTGATTATACTTATACATATCGGCAAGCGGGATGATTGTAATAATCTATGTTTAAAATAGATTCTTTTCCTCTGGAAAGCGGGATGCTTTCACTGAAGGGCATTGATGTATTGTCTAACATTAACACCGGATTATGTTAGTGTTTATTTAATATGGAATTCGAGCTTTGTCCATATGAACTGCTAAGCATGCTTCCAAAATAAAATGAGTGGGAATATTCAGTTGATTAATCTTTGATAAACCTTTCACCTTTTAACTCTACTATATCGGTCACAAGCCCGGAACTTGTAGCATCTCGGTTACAAACTAAAACCTACGACTCCCACAAAACGTACTCCCCAAAAAGTCGCTACGTACTCCTAACGTATTCCCAACGTACTCCCAACGTACTCCCAATGTACTCCCTACGTAATCACTACGTACTCCCTACGTACTCCCAAAAAAGTCGCAATTGAATTGTGTCTTCAATTCGATTTTTCAGTCAAAAGAATCGACAACTAAATAAGCGTATACTTTTGTGAATTGAGTGTTCGTATTATGTGTTTGTGTGATGTTAATAATTATAGGGATGTAAAATTTATCTGCATAAAATAGAATATGGGAAGTTAAATAACAAAAACAAGGGAAGTATTATTCTCTTGCTGAAGGCAAAAACATTACTGAAGACATAACAGGATGGTAAAACGGGAACTATTTACGTTAAACTATACGCACATGCATTTGGCATGGGAAGTTCAAAACACTCAGTTCCTGAGGAAGACCTTCTTTTCAATCGGGGGAATGAGGAAACTTTGTAATTTTATCATGTAGCATGTTTAGCATACATATAGGATGCAAATATTTCGATACGCATTTTTTTGAACGCATTAACGCGTAATAGCGCTTTGAGTTTAAGTCATGAAGAGACGTATTGGATACCCTTTTTTGATATTAGTTAATATTCGTGGTAACCAACCAACGTTTGTCGTCAAAAGTTGCGACATTGTAAATAATAAATATTAAACGAACTCGATCAAAAGAATTTTCAAAGTCGATAGTCCAATTTTCGCAATATTATTTATAGTAACTTTCACACTCTTTACTAACCAAGAATACGAGGGCGATCACCTTTCGTAAATATGACGAAAAACTTCAAAGGAGTATCGTTTGTGGTTTATTATATATTCTGTGGTCAAAGTATTTCGTTCTTTGGTTTAATACAAAAAGGACTTTTATTTTGAAGTAATTAATAAACTTTGTCACAGAATGTTGAACTTTTGGGTTGAAAGAAATCATCATCTCAGTTTTTCCAAACAGGATGCTTACTGAGCGTTTGTTGGATGTTTTGCGGATGTTTATGTCGTGGAAAACGTGCATTTTGTTCCAAAAATAAACGACAAAATGCGGAAAAGATTAACAAATACGAAGAACTGTGAAGATCAGTCTAATCAATTAGGAGATTTGCAAAAATGAACCAAATGCACGTTTTGGCATGAAATTAAACCCAGTCATTCTAGTCTGGAATAAGATGACGAAAACGAACGTTGAATTCGTAAACAATTCTCTACGGAAATACAGTTTTTTAATTTTAATGAGAACAATTGTTTGATTAACAGGATTAACGTAATTGTCTCATTTACTCATTAGCCAACGTGTTTTAACATTTTTACAAGGCATAGCATCTAACAGCCTGTAGGATTTCAGTTAAACTGCTTTATACTTTATTTTTAAATACACCAATGGTCAGCGTTATTTAAAGTACAAATCTCACATTTACTTTTGTTATATGACGAGGATAGCTTCTATCTGCTTCGTAGTTTTAAATCATAGAAAGAAAGCAATTGACATTTGACCTTATATTTTTAAATACCGCATCGCGATTACTCATACGTAGCGAAATGCACAGATTTTATGGTAACATCGCAATCCTAAAACCCCTAAAAATGCTTTAATGTCGTGAAATGAGGGTGTCACTCATACCTCTGTGACAGTCATCCATACACTTAGTTTATATATTATAAACAGAAGTTATTGTCACAGAGAAAGAGTAGTGTTGGTGCTGCCCGTGCAAATTTGTCAGTAAAAAATTGTTAGGTACAGACTTCAATAGGACCACCACTTGATGTAGAACATATCTCGATGGATTTGTTTGCTGGCATGGATTGAAAATTTGCTCGCGTTCACTATAATTGTGTGATTTGAATGACAGACAACAGAAACGTTTGCCCGCGTGTCACATTAATATTTTCCATTGCATTCCCAAGGTTTATTTCACAATGTTAATCAATAATTATAAATAAAATAAATAAATACTTACACAACATTTTTATCGCCGGAGCTCTGTGGCCAAAGTCCAACTTCCAAATTAAGCAATGTAAATAAGGCCTGTTTCAAACGTAGCATTTTACATGAGTCAAATGCATTTAAAACAAAAGATAACAAGAAATTTTTTCTTGTTTTCTTTTGTTTTAATTGCATTCAACGCATCTAAAATGCGACGTTTGAAACGGCGTGAATACGTCACGGTTAATCCAACTTTACCTGTTTTCCAAGGATTTCTAGACCTCCATCCTAATCACTATGCTCACATAAAGCCCAGAGGCGGATACAAGGGGTGTCAAGGGTGTCAAAGGACACTGTCAGAATTTTTTAAATAGTGCAATATCGCATTACAGAGATCGAATATAGAAGATCTTTAATATTATGGTAATATGAAAGGCTCCAACACTTTATTCAAACGTAGATAAATTTGCAATGTCTTAATATACACAAAATTATTTCAACACAATCCTCATAAAACACAAATAAATTTTCTCGTAAATAACTAAATAATAACGTCAACCAGGCGCTCGCTAGATAATAAAATATCAAGAACAAATTATGACGTATAAAATTTTGAACGATCTATGGATTTAACGGCATTTCTTTAAAATTGACCTCGTAATTACACGTAAACGAGCCTGCAGTTTTAAAATAGAGCATTGTTGACAAAAAAGAAAAAGCAAGGCGTGGGGACTAAGCTTAACTGGCCTGGCAAGGCCTGGCCACTATGCCACACAATAAATCTCATCCAACATGGCGAATTAAACAACAACAGGGAAATCTATGGAAAACACACACAAAAAAAGAAATTATGGAACAGTTTGAAACGCAACGCAATATGATTTTAAGACAATTTATTAAAATGTTGTCTAAAAGCACTCGATTAAACCTGCCTCTTAGCAAAACTTAAACAAGTCACGTCATCTGTAATATAATGTTGGTATCATTTACACACAGAAATATATATTTCTATGACCCTGATTTGTTAGAAATTTATTTATAATGGCCAGGAAAAAAGGATGTTCTTCTACAGCACTTTGATTGTTGTACTAAAACATGTTAAATCTTGTGACCCTTGTCTATTTCAAATTTTTACTTTCACCCTGTTGCAGTTCTAAAAACTGATCATCACAGTTTTGATAAAGAATAAGTTGCATAGTTTAAGTAGTTAATGTAATAATACATCTGTACTGGTAATGAAATTGAGTATTCAGCAAGATCCGGGGTTTTTAAAACTTGACCATCACTTTCTTAAAAGCATAGCTCTTCTGCACATTGGCTAGCACATTGGGTTCTAAATCAATTTTCAGACTTCATCAGCCAAATCACTTTAAGTTAATTAAAACCTTTTTCATGGAAGGTAGATCTACTCTATGACTCCCACACACAAGAAAAAAGTAATGTTATTAGCTCTTATAATTGTGAAAAATACTCCTAAGTTGCAATGTGATGAGAATACTTGAACAAGATGACGAGTCTTATCTATTCTTATGCAAACTCTCTAATGACAGACAAGTTCTTTGTGGAAACTCCATATAAAGTTCTGTGCAGACATAAACAAAGTAAACATAGCTGAGGTTATCAAATGTTTATGGTTACCTCAAGGTGGTCATCTTTTTCAATTATCACCATGTGTTGACCAACACTTGGTGAAGTTTGAAAAACAAAGAGAAAAATTTTGTACATATTTAACCAGCAATCGTTTTAATCGCAAATACATCATAGAACTAGTACATAATACATGTTTTTTTTGCATCTTAAACACAGTTTTTCTTCATTAAATGGGGGTTGGTTAAAATAAGACAATTTTGTGCATATTTAACCAACTCTCTTTTTAATGGCAAATACATCGTAGAACTGGTACATAATACATGTTATTGCATCTTAAACTCAGTTTTTCTTCGGTAAATGGGGGATGGTTAAAATAAGACAAATTTTGTATACAT